ACATATGTTGCTGGGTTTTTCATCTTCCAACAGTGACTCCGCCTTAAGGGAATTCGGGTCGAGCCTGCTTGGGTACTGTGCTCTGAGCATGGTCCAAATATCATTTCTGTATGCATTGAACTCAATTCCATCAGCTCGTGGTTGGTTCATCCATGCATGGCCATGAGCTTCCAGCATGGTTTGCATAACTGTGAGTCCAATGGTTCTTGACCAGACTGCTTTTAAATCTCCCAAGGCAAGCAGAACTCCTGTTGTCTCCGCCTCAAAGCTCCTTATCCAATGCCCTGCGCCCACCTGGATTTCAGGTAGCCTAGCAATGAGTCCAGTCAGGTCGAGCGAACCCCATGGGATATAATTTGCAGTTGTTCCTTTAATCAAAATTGGATACTGTCCAGGGATGCCCATGTCACCCTGAACTACTGCTTCATATCTCTCTGGTTGTTTGAGCGTTTCCCTTGGTCTCAAGTCATGCTCATTTCTCAGTGTTCCATTGTCTTCTGGTTTGTCATCGTTATTAGTTGATACAATTTTCCTCTCTGGTGATTTGCAGTTTGGTCTGTATTTTAAGTTAAAATTTTTTTCTTTGTTTTGTGAACTTYCATCTGCTTTATTATCTTGGCTTTTGTTATGCTGTATTTTTAGCATTGCTTGATCAATTTCACTTTCAATACGTGAGATTTCATATCTTAAATTTTTTTCTGTCGGGGTCTTCATCTATGGGGTBAAGTTTTACCCAGTAAGAGTCTCCCCCAGGTGTTCTACGTATTGTTTCGCTTCGCCCTGCATAACAGTCAAGAACGGAGATTGGTTGGTTTATCGTAGATTTAGTGTTTGTAGCTCTTTTCACCGTGCTGCAATGCTTCGGGGACTCAATATGTAAGACAACTGACTTATTTAATGTGTCTTGGTTTTTTTATTTGCTTCAACTGGTGCACTGTTTCCAGAATTGATGGTGTGTTCTGGGCTGTTTATGTTTTCGATTAAGTTTGGCAGATCCAGAATTGTTTTCTGGTTGTGAAGGTCAAAATCCCCTTTGATTGTTACACTTCCAATCAAAGGGATAAATTGATTTGATCTTTTCATCTTTTATTTCATTTAAATCTGGCTCTTCCATGATTTCTTTGTCAGTTGGATCCTTTTTCATATTAATTATTGAGTTTCTCAATGTTTGTCTGTATTTTTCGCCTTCATTCTTAAACAAATTAAGAATTTCTATCTCTTGTTTTCTGTTCTCTGTACGCTTTTGTGACTTGTCATTAGCATTGTAATCCTCTATCCTTACAAGCATGTCATCACAAAGACTTTTATCAAAAGTCCCATCCTGTGGCCATGGTGCTCTCAAGCATTTAGTGTGTTTTTTCCATTTGGTGGAAATCTTTTGAATGGCTTTTGCCAAATCTGGGTTTTTGACTGATAGGATTCCAACAGGTGTGGCAGACATTTTGTTGTTGTGACTTAAGAAGTAATAATAGAATTTATAAATGAGTGTTTTATAACCTCAGCTTTTTTAATAACTGTTGATGATTAAATGCAATTTTCTTCTTATAAGAGTTAAAATTAAGATTGTTAATTTTAATCTTGTTTATTATTATTATTATTATTATTGTTCAATACAGAACATTTGGTTTAAAAGGCTTGTTTTTAAAGATCTGTGTTGAACTGATTACTTCATGCACACAGGACATTCCTGCCCTTTTTGTCTTAACTTCTGCATGGGCGTGGTAATTTTCAGTGTATCTCTGTGGTGGGATGGCTTTGAGAGCGTACGCCACTTCCTGCCCGATTCATTTGCAACCTTCGCTCATGACAGAAGGACTGAGCTCCGCTCGCCAGCGAACAAACCGCACTCCTTCTCCCTCCACACAACCTCCTGCTCACCCTCCAAAGATAAGTATAAACATATATTTGTCTTGTATAAACATTGATTCGTTCTTAGAATACCTTGGTAACTTTCTCTTTTTCTCTTTCCTTCTTCTGCTTGGAATATTTACCCTGTGTATGCGTGTGTGTGTGTGTGTGTGTGTGTGTGTGTGTGTGTGTGTGTGTGTGTGTGTGTGCAAATGTGCTCAGCTCCCTATCTGGTCTCCTTGACTTCCAGCCAAAAGGCGTCTCCCATTTTTACTGCACTTCTCTGCTTTCAACACATGCAGAAATCCTTTTATTTCTTAGATTAGATTACTTTTTAAATGTTTTACTTCCTCATTCTCTACCAAAATCAACAGTTCTTTTTATATTTCACTTTTTCCTGTCACTTAATCAAATGTGTGTGCGTGTTTTTTCACAGGAACATCTGTTTCCTATCTGATCCAGCAGCTGACAAGCAAAAACAACAGCCTCTCCGCTCAGCACAGGTTCCACTTCCACAGAGCAGAATACAAGTCTCCAAGCATGAGTCTCCTCTCAAGCCAAGCAAACAATTCTATCCCAAACAGCAAAACAGATATACATAGCAATCATCATGCAGCTTTTAAAAATGCATTTTTTCAACAGCCATCATCTTGCATTCCAGAAAAACAATCAGCCTTCTGCATTCCTTCACAGCCAGCATCAGCACAAATTTTCTTTCTCCTGTTCCTATTTAAGTAATAAAAGTCAGCTTTTTATATTTACTGAGATTGTTTGTTTTTCATTTCATTGTATTTTATATGTTTTCACAACTATTTTAAAGATATAATTGCCTTATTATTATTATTTTTATGTTTAATTAGATTTAGCTGCAGCTTGTAATATGTTACTCAGTTATGCAATATGCTATTTTACTTAATGGTATGATTCTTTACGAATATACAACAAAGATTGTCCTCTGTGCACAGTTTTTTCTTTCGTTTTTCAGGCCTTTTTTAAAGCCTTGTTAAAGCCTATTTGTTCGAGTTTCTGAGGTATTTTGACTGCTGCTGCTCCCTGCTCTGGTAACAGCATGCAGAGTGAGTGCAGAGGAGGGAGAAAAAAAGAAGCTGCGACCGACTGCCTCTGGGTCTCACTCAGGGTCTCATATGGTTGTACAACGGAGCTTCTGCTATTATTTTA